TAATAGCTCTCACATATAGAGGATCGTAAACATAATATCTTAGAATTCAAGACTGTATGTAGAAAACTCTCTGTCGTAAAAATTACTCATGAAAAAAGAACACCAATATTTCATTAGGCATTGTGTGAAGTATTTGAAATACAAGAAAGAAATAAGAACTAAAATGACTATGTCATTTTAACAAATAATTAAGAAAAAAACTAAAAAAAAAAAAGAAGGATTTACATTACTACAAATGAGGTTTAAATTCTCAAAGTATCCCTCATCATCTCAAGAAAGGGATTTACCCATTCATTCTTGAGGGGAATATTGTGTTAGAAATCTAGGAGTGATAACGGTTCATAACAGTGTTATGTAGAATGGTATACGAACGAACGTGAAGAATACTGAAAGACTAAACGAATCGCGTGATCGCTTTCAGATTAAAGTTATTTCAGGGTATATTAAAATACTTCAAACGGATAAGATATTAGTATATATAGAATAAGTATGGAACTTAAAAAGGAAATCCATCTAGCAGTGCTAAAAGACTTCCTGTCAAAGATTGGCTTTCAAAGTTTCAGGATTAGGAGGATTTCTTCCCGGGTTACCAAAACAAAATTATGCTTAAATGGACCAATTTGAAAAAACGCACAACTAAAAAGGACTGTTTTGAGAAGTTATTATACGTTTTAATATTGTTTTGACGTCATTTTAACAGTTGTTAGTCAGAGAATTAAATTAAGTGTTGTTTTCAATTAATGAGTATGATCTCACTAATTAATTTATCTCGAGACTAATTTAAGAAAGGAGAATTTACGTAAATATCACTAAAACATAATGATTTTTCTCTAAATAGCATCACATGTGTTTTTTGCCTAATGTAGCACTTTTAGTCATCATACATTATTCATTATTAAAATAAATGTTCGTCATCACTGGTCATTATTAAGTGATATTTAGGGAATAAAACAGTTTAAGTACTATTTAGAGAAATAACTTAAGTTTTAATGCTATTTAATGCAAATATTTCTTTAAGAAAATACATAAGTGGTATTTTAAGAATTTTTTCAAAATCTTTTACCAAGTGTTATTTGATGGTTTTCTAGAAAACCGACATGAAAAGCTGAATGCGCTTTTGGCCCAAATTTCTTCATGACCAATTCACCTAACTGGCCTAAGGAAACCAAGACGTCCACCACCACCGCCTTAAGTCTTTCCTACCTTATCACAAATCACAATAAAGAAAATAAAGTCTTGAAGTGACTTCGGCGGAAGAAAGAGTAGCCACGTCCAATGTTCTATGTCCTACACTAATTAATTAAAGTCGAATTCGATTCCTGACAATTGCACGAAAAACAACGATATTAAACATAGGACTTTGTAAGTACCAGGTGCATACTCTAAACTTTGCCAACAATCTGTAATCAAAGTTTAATTTACCTCCTCTTAGTACCGTCTGACTGGGTCTAAGGAGACCCTCAGGAATGTGGCTCATCCTTTTTTTAGAACTAATATTTTTTTATTAACCTAAGTATTTTGGATATTTTAATACTCCGTAGTACAAACTAAATTCGGAAATATTAAAATAATAATGCTAGGGGTACATTATGTTGTTTGTACACCAAACAAAAATAGACACACACAAACATTTCATAACGCACAAATATTGAGTGTCTACGTGTGTCTGTGTTTTCTTGTTGTACAAATCGGGCATTTTGGTCTAAATCTAGTATTGTCATATTAAATTTTAGAGTAAATTTCGTAATTGGTCCTTTATAACAGGGGGGTTTCCCTATTTAGTCTTCTTTTATCAAATATTACCCCAGTGGTCCTTCTTTTATGGGTATCTTTCCACAAATAGTCTTTTTTTGATCTTCTATCATGTTGGCGTTAATTTAAGGGCTAAAAGTGTAATTTCACAATGAGAATATATCTTTTTTGTCCTACACAATTCCAAAGGTTGTTCCGTTTGCGTCGTTTGTGAATTACATTCGCTTTCTACTATAATTATAGTCTACAAATGTGGTCTTCCATCGGAATCCTGGTCCAAAATCAAAGTCATTATTTTTGTGTTACCCGCTTAACCAATATCAGAACACGTCACTAGACATAATGTTGATGTCAAATTATACTTTTAGCCTTTAAATTAACAATCACATGGTGGAAGATTAAAAAAAGGACCATTTGTGGAAAGACACCCTTAAAAAAGGACTACGAGGGTACTATTTGATAATAAAGGACTAAATAAGGAAACCCCCTGTTATAAAGGACCAATTATGGATTTTATTCTAAATTTTAATGTTATTATGGATAACATTTTTTAAAACACTAAAAATAAGCATTGAATCTATTATGACACATGCACATTGTCAAGCTAGAATATTTATCTAACAATAGGTTTGGTTCAACGAATTTAAAAAAGAAAATAAAAGAAAATATAATAAAGAACAATAGGTTTGGTTCAACGAATTTAAAAAAGAAAATAAAAGAAAATATAATAAAGAACAATTTTTCCTATTGGGAAAAGAGGAAAAGAAAAGTAAAAGAAAATGAGTGCAAAGTACACTAAGAGAAGAAAATACAATTTTATCATTTTGATACGTGAGAAAATCATTTTCTTTTATTTTAATTATAAATTTCTTAAACCAAACAGAGGATACAGAAATCATACACTATACCGAGTATATCTCCTCTTTTTTTAATAAAAAAATCTGAGTATATGTACAATTATTTGGAAATAATCTTGTGGTTTATTATTCACAACTGCTGGCCAAATATACAAACTTAAGAATATAAAGACAAGTTACATGGGCTTGGGCCTGATGATAACTACGGGCCAAATATACAAATAGACTAAAGAACTATCTCTATCTCAATACTCCCCCTCAAGTTGGCGTATGAATATTAAGAATGCCCAACTTGGAGAGTAACACGCAAAAAATGAGGTTCAATTTCGTAATGTGCTGGTCAGCAAGACTCTAATGCTAATAAAAGAGTCATCTCAATAAAAAGTTCAAACTTATAATTGTAGGCCGGCAAAGATTCGGTGCATATACTATAACAATGGTCTTACTTTAATAATTCGTCTATTTATGATTTTAAAAATCCTCAAATTCTTTGCGAAGATATTAATGAGGCGTCTCACATGTTAGCGTAGACTTCTTTCTTTGTGAAGGATCAAACAAACAAGACAAAAATATTTCAATCCAAAACCTCTAAAACAATTGCATTAATCATCATAGTAGGTCATATATTTTTATTACGGTTCAATATATTTTTTCTACAAGTTATCAGAGTTAAAAATTGATCACAAAAATCACATGTGAATAACCAGTTAGAATGAAGGGAGTATCATTTTACATGTATCTTTGTATTTCTACACGAAATATCAATAATATATAAAAATGTTAATATATTTATTTTAGTTAGTAAATTATGAATTAACATAAATTACTAAATTGAAAAAATGACTCTGGCCACTCTCATGTATTTTTGAGTCCGCCACTGATTTTTCGCAGCGTTAATAATACTTCGTATGACTTACTGAAAAGAATATGCTTCTATGGTACATACCTTTTTTTGAACTTTTTAATAAAAAAAACTATTTTTAAAATTTTCTTATTTAAAAAACCAGATATTTACTTAAATAATTAGAAAATGCTTATAAAAGAATTATTTGGGAGGAAATTCTCTGTATATTGAGTTGGCTTGTGAAACTTGTTTTGAATACAAATATCTAACCTTCTTTATATAAAAAGAGGGTAAAACAAACAAGGAAATTTCTATTCCTACTAAAATAAGAATTAAACAAACTAGGAAAGATACTAAATAGTAAACCTAATCCAACTAGTAAAGATACTAAACCTAATCCCAAAGGAATTCGGTTTCCTTTTTCAATCCCGCTTCCTTCTTCTGTCTCTAACACTTTCCTTCTTCAATCTTGTTTCCTTCTTCTATCTCTAACACCCCCCCCCCCTCAAGCTGGAGCATGAGAGTTCAACATGCACAGCTTGGACATAAAAAAAGGTTCCCTCGGTTCGCACATCTGCGCAAGCTTCTCCGGCAGGTCCCACGTGCAATTCCTACACGTACAAATTGGGAACTGCTCGTCTGCTCCAAACCTGCAAGAAACGTTCCCTCGGTTCGCGCATCTGCGCAAGCTTCTCCGGCAGGTCCCACGTGCAATTCCTACACGTACAAATTGGGAACTGCTTCAAACCTGCATAAAACGTTCTCCCGGTTCGCGCATCTGCGCAAGCTTTTCCGGCAGGTCCCACGTGCAATTCCTACACGTACAAATTGGGAACTGCTCTAAACCACAGAAACCGAGCAACGAACGATGGACGCGATGCGGACGATCGTGAACAGTAACTGCGATCAAGAGAAACTGCTGTCGGGACGGTCGACCCACTCGACCGTTCTTCAGCAACGGTCGACCGTTCCGGTACTTCAGCAGCAACAACAGGCGACGATCGATGGACGCGATGCCGGTCGATCATGAACAGTAGACGCGGAAAGAGTTGTTTGTCTCCGTAGAACAACCCTTGTCCGACCACTTCTTCAAGAATGATGGAGGACAATAAAAAAATATAAAAATCACAATATCCCGCCGGTAGGCATTAAATTGTGTATGCCCACCGGCAGGGGAAGAAGCGTGTTTGAGGTCTCAAGAATTCAAAACTGGCTCTGATACCATGAAAGAATTATTTGAGAAGAAATTCTCTGTATATTGAATTGGCTTCTGAAACTTGTTTTGAATACAAATATCTAAACCTCTTTATATAAAAAGAGGGTAAAAGAAACAAGGAAATTCCTATTCCTACTAAAATAAGAATTAAACAAACTAGGAAAGATACTAAATAGTAAACTTAATCCAACTAGTAAAGATACTAAACCTAATCCCAAAGGAATTCAGTTTCTTTCTTCAATCCCGTTTCCTTCTTTTGTCTCTAACACTTTCATTCTTCAATCTTGTTTTCTTCTTCTATCTCTAACAGCTTATTTGTTCATAGGTGCATGGACTACCATAAAATTTACTTACCAAAAAAAGAGGATCAAACAAACAACACAAAAATATTTCAATGCAAAACCACTAAAATGTTTGCATTATTCATCATAGTAGTAGGTCATATATAGTTCACTAGGAATTGAAGCGACGCACAGCTCGACACCTGGACTATATGTAGGTAGACCCCACATACCCACTAAACAACTTAAAAAAGAAAAAAAAAGTAAAAGCCACTTGACAACAATAGAAAACAGTAGTAGTACACGACACTAGTCAACTTAGAAAATCTACAACAACAACAACATTGAACCAAACGTCGTCGTCCCGAGAAGCATCACGTGATAGAACCCCGCCTTTGTCCCCCAATATGCCGAAGAAGCTTCCGGCGCCGGCGGAGCCGGAGCTTCCGGAGCCGGCGGAACTGGAGCTTCCGGAGCCGGGTGAACCGGAGGCTCCGGGTGCGGATGGACCGGAACCGGGGGCAACGGAGCTGGGAGAAACGGGACCGGAGCATCCCACGGGCCGGTTCTCTTGAACGTCACAACCAGCGGGGAATCGCCCAGCGCCAAGATCCGAGCACCTCCGGCTCCGGGAAACACGCCGACATCCTGGCAGACCACCTGGAGCGTGCCGGCCACGGTCGGGCAGAACACGAACTTGTAACCCGGCCCGTGTTTCTCGATCTTGAACCAGTTCCCGATCGTCTCCGGCCCGGGGTTCCCCTCTGCGCCGCCGGTGACGACGGGGAACTTCTCGGCCGCCTCGTCGTACTTCCCCACCCTCCACACCGTCTCGTTCAAGCAGGCGGCGGCGATCGGGGCGGAGAATTTCACGTTGACGTCGGTCGAAAGCTGGACCGGACCGGTCCGGCCTTCGACCGGCGAGATCACGACCGGTAAACCGGTCCGGTCCTCGCCGGATTCTTGGACGATGTCGCGGGGGCAGGCGGCGTGTTTCTCGTTGACTTTAGCCGGGGAAAGGCCGCCGCCGGTAACCGGGAGGACGAAGTAGTTGACCCCGGCCAGCAACCTTCCGCCGCCGGCGTCGAGAACCGGGGACTTCTCTGCTCCGTCGTCGGAGGTGGGGTTCTCGGAGAGGGATGGGAAGGGGAGGAGGGACGAAAGTGAAAGGACGAGAAAAAGTTGGAGTTTCATTTTGGGGTCAAAATGAAATATTGAGAAGTTGGGTTTGAACTATGAAATCATGGAGGTGGTTAGTTAGTGGAATTTATAGCAGAAAAGATATTTGAAAATCACCTAACTCACACTACTTGGAAGTTGGAAGTAGTAACGTGTTTCACCAACCTCCTCAAGTCAAATTAACCCAAGATCTTAAAAAATATTTCATCCCTTCAAATACTTTTTACGTCATTTCAAAAAAATTATCACAATTTAATTATAAAATGTGAAAAAAAGTATATTTGATTATAATCTGAATTTAGTAAAATATGGTTCATTTTAAAATTTAATTTTGATATATTAATTTATTTGATGATCAAAGTGTAACAGAGTTTGACCAAAAAATTCAAACTGTCTCAATCTTTTTTGGGACCAAAAAATTCAAACTGTCTTCGTCTAGAACAATTTTCAAATTTTAACTTTCAACAATTAAAATTGATAAATATTAACCATTAAAAAAATAAAACATATCCCCTCGTCCCAAATTAAATTGCATGTTTCCTATTTACAGGTCAAACTTTATTCACTTTCTGCATTAGATTTTTTTGACTTGTGTTGAACTGATCTGTAGGATCGTTTTTTGGAATTTCTCAGTCGGACACCCATCCTGGGACTATTCTCGTTCCAGCACGCTTAACTACAAAGTTCTGAAGTTAAAGAGGTGTCAAATGCTTCCTAAAAGCAATTGGTGATAGAAAGGTGAATACTTTGTATTTAACCACATTTCTCTGTAGCCCCAACCCGAGGTAGATTCGTATAGGGCACCCCCTATAGTTCTCTCCCTAATTTGGCAAAATTTATTTCATACAAAAAAACCAGCAACACAATGCTTTAAAAAAACACATTTCAATTTTCACAGCTCTATATTTTACAAGAGCCCAAGATGCAAAATCACAACAACAAATCTGAGTCAAACCCCAATACGCTCTGGAGAGGGTGTGTGTACGCAGCAGACTTTGCCCCAACTTGAAAGTAGCAAAGTCACATTAACCTTACTAGAGGTAACTCACTCCATCTCCTTCTACCACCTCGCCGAGTCGGAAAGCTTCAAAAGCCTCATCCTCGAGGATTTTCCGAGCCGTGTCCGGGGTCACAACTAGGACCATCCCGATTCCCATGTTGAAAGTCCGCCTCATTTCCGCATCTTCAATTCTACCCGCCTTCACATCATAACATATGTTTTTCTCAATACAAAATGAAAAATGAGTGTATTCCCAAAATAGTCCATTCTAATAGGGTGTTTTCCCAAATTAGTCCTCAATACGTAATAATTACCAACGTAGTCCTTTGTAATTGAGATATATTTCCTAAATAGTCCTCTGTCAAAAATGCATATGCATATTAAATGATAGTTAATTGAGGGTATTTTTGTATTTTCCATCATATAAACTATGAATAAATCTTCAAAACGGTCCTTTCAAATTAAATGGACGATTGCTAGAGGAAGTGATCCCCCCAAGTAGGCTCATGAATTCCATTTCGGGGAAATATTTACTTAGAAATTATCAGTTTGGAAAATACTTAACTATAAAAGAGTACTTCGAAAACATACTTTAAGTGTAGATGATGGAAAATACAAAAATACCCTCCATTTCACTGTCATTTAATAAGTAAATTTGACAGAGGACTATTTATGAAATAAATCTCAATTACAAAGGACCATGTTGGTAATTATTGTTTATTGAGGACTAATTTGGAAAAATGCCTAATTAGAAAGGACTATTTTGGGAATTCACTCATGAAAAAATTATACAAATACTCCCACCAGGACTACGTAATTATCACCAATGCTTCCAAAAATTCAATATTTTTACGATAATACTCCAAGTTCACATAAAATTAGGGGATTCATGTAAACTAAAAATTCTCACAAAGTATTATAAAATAATATTCCGTAAATTGTGCAATATTAGGGGTGTTCTTGTAAAATCTCCGATTATTCACAGTATTGGGATGTTTTTTTTCCAATGCACAAAGAAGATGAAAACCATAGTTGTGAGGAAATAAGACCTAACCTCTTGAATCCATTTGAATACGGGAGGAACTACCCATGAATCTTTGTTAACGATGGCCCCTAAATCTTTAGGAAAAACGCGAGGTATATTATCTGTAAAGCCTCCACCGGTGATGTGAGCTATCCCTTTAACCACTCCTTTATTAATAATGTCAAGTACCTTAAGAAACATTAGAAAGAAACAAAGAAAAAAACAGTTAATTATCATTGTATTCTCTAAAACATTGCAAACACAAATGCAGCAGGTAAAAATTTACAATTTGTTTACCTGTTTAACATAAATGACAGTTGGGGCCATTAAGGCTTCGCCTAGTGTGATCGAGTCACCAGGAAGCTGGTCATTCAAAGAGAGGCCACTTTGTTTGATCACCCTGTTTCATTTTCTTAGTGTGAAGGGCATTATGGGGAAAATTGAAAATTGAACTTTCAAGCTATAGTTTTTAGGTACAGAACAAGGAGAAGAAGTATGGCTCTAACCTTCTGACAAGAGAGAATCCATTTGAATGAACTCCACTAGATGGAAGGCCAATGAGGACATCTCCGGGAACAATATTCTTCCCGTTAATAACGGAATCTTTTTTCACAATACCAACTGCAAAACCACTAAGATCATACTCCCCAGTTGCATAGAAATCTGGCATTTCTGCAGTCTAAACCAATAACTTGATCCATTCAACACAACTAGAAGAAAGAATTCGTTATAAAATGATAATTTCCTTTTTTGCCCGTATCAAAATAAACTTCACACTTTCCTTATTTCCTTTTAAGAAAAAGAAAGTGTGGCTCAAATAAGTTTTCTTTCTTCTAAACGAATTCTAGCCATCAACTTTTCACTTTTCAACACTTTTTTAAAACTCCATGAAGCCAAATTATGAGGTTTATTTTGGGAGGAAAAAAAGATTTCCAAGTATAAGAAAACTCATCACAAAGTAATCAAATCAATTTGATATTTTCCAATTTTATAAAAGATTACTTCATTACACAGCGCGAGTTTCTATATCACCTTCTAAAATATTAAAGAGTACATTTGTTTAGCAAGAAAGGCAGGTACCTCTCCCCCCAAAAGGGCACAATCAGACTGCTTGCAACCATCTACAATGCCTTTTATCACCTAATAAGCAATCAATTGAAAAACTAAATGAGCACATAATGTAAGAATATTAAACTCCATAACCACTTTATGCAGAAAACCTGCGTATACACACCTTTTCTGCAAGATCAACATCGAGATGGCTTGTTGCAAAGTAATCAAGAAAAAATAATGGTTTTGCTCCAGAGGTGACAATATCATTAACACTCATTGCAACCTGATAACACGAATGCCTCTTTAACATTAGTTGCATAAACTTACATAGAAAGTGATATACCAGAAGACAGAAAACGCACCAGATCAATCCCTATCGTCTCGTGGATTCCAGTTTCAAAAGCAAGTTTTAGTTTTGTCCCCACCCCATCGGTGCCAGCCACAAGGTATGAATCCCCTGATAAAGTCATAAGTGAGTATATACTGTTAACAGAATGAAGGCTTCATCTCCAACAGGATTTGAGGAATTTTAAGGATGTTTTTGAAAATTCTTTAATAGGATCATGGCACTTTTTTTCTTCAAAATAGATGCACCAATGAACATTCCCAACTCCTAAGATACATCCATAGAAGTATAACACAAACAAAAAAAACCACTTTAAATGTTAAAATCACCGCAATCCTCTATAGATTAAACTCTAAAAGAGTACATGCATAGGAGGGATGGCATGATGTTCTAATCAACTTAACCAAAACTGCAGTTTATCTTACATTGTTTAGTTTAGAAGACTTCCACTTATTCCTATGCGATTTTAGCAACAGCATATAAATGGGTAAGAAGGCCCAAATAAACACACACTACAATAGACTAGCCAAGTAGCCAAACCAAACAAACCAGTATATCCCACTAGAACAGACTAGTATATGTGAATACCTAAAGGAAAGAGGCCTCCAAAACCGCCGATTCCAGGTGCCATTTTGGCAATTCTCCTGACAAGCTCTGATCCTGCATCAATGTCAACCCCAGCATCTTTATACGTAAGACTGGCACTGATGGCCTTATTATCATGGCTGTTGCTACCATGACTTGCGGACATCATGTTGGTTTTCCTCTTGCTTTGAGGATGCAACTTTAGACATGATTTTGAATGAACACTGAAGACGCATCTAGGTCCAGAAATACATAAGTTGGAGCTCAAGGTATGTGACTTTTTGCATGAAATGGGTGATTTCATTGTGCACCCGGTTAGCTCCATATTTGCTATGTAAGGTGTGGTCATTGCAAGCCAAGAATCACTGGATTTTCAAAGAACTAAGATTATATAAGATGAAGATTAAAAACAGATGAAGTCTTCAAAAGCATATCTACCTTCAAATTAAAATAAATTCTGTCTCAAACAATCATTCACATAATTAAAACAGAAAAATATACTCCGGGTAAAATAGAAAATATACTTGCAATTTACATAGTAAATCATAGCTTAGTTTAATTGTCATATCTTAAATATTTCAATTAAAAAAAACATCTCTCGAGGACACATTTTAGAATGTATATGTTTTATTGAAAAAACCATAGCTTAGTTTATTTACAGAGTAGATCATAGCTTAGTTATTTTTTTTTACCAAAAAAAGAAACATGTTTTTTATGGTATATTTCATAATTTATATTTTAATTTAATTATCAAATATTTTAAATATTTAAATTTTCTCAAATTTTTCTCACACTTACCAATTTTATTTAACAATTAACATGAATATCACTTTAGACAGAAATAAACAATTAGGGCAAACAAAATAGAAAGAATTCAAACAAAATCGGGCAAATAAAATTAAAACGCACCAAATAAACAACACATAAGACTATTTTGTGCACAAATGAATTACTCCCTCCATTCCAAACAAAAAATTCACATCCACTTTTCACATTTCTCACTCCTCTGCAACATTTTCAACCATACAATTTCATTTTTTTCTTAATCAAGTCAAAAGTGGAAGGCTTTTTGGAATACCCGGAGGTCCTGAACCGCGGCGGCCAGGGGCGGAGGGATGGTGAACGGTCGCCGGAGCCGGGAAGAGGCGTGCAGGCCCAAGACGAAGGGAATGGTGATGCCGGGGTACGGAGACTGCTGGGCCTGGCGTGGGGCAGAAGAACTAAGAAGTGAAGAGGAAAAGCGGAGGGATTTCAAGCCATTTCACTTTTAGATTTGGTCTGGGCTTTGAGATTTTTAGAATAGATTGGATGAAACCATCATATGGACTGGGCACTGCATAGTGTTGGGCCTGTTTCATTGTGGGCACATCCACCATTGGCTAAAACGGTCTTTTTCTAGTAAGATGTTTTGTCAAATTAGTCGTCACTCATCAGTAAATAATAACTACCAATATGGTCTCTAGCAATTGACATGTACTACTTAAATAGTCCACTTGTCAAAAGTTATTAAATGATAGTTAAAAGTGGATATTTTTGTATTTTTCATCATCTAAAGTGTGAATAAATCGTTAAAATGGTCCTTTCAAATTAAGTGAATGGCTGCTAGAGAAACAGACCTAGCCCGAATAGGCTTATGGAAAACTCCATTTCAGAAATTACTTAGATTTTATTAGTTTAAAAAATACTTAATTATAAAAGAGCATTTTGAGAACATATTTTAAGTCTATGTGATAGAAAATACTAAAGTATCTTCTATTTGACTGCATTTAATATAATTTTTTGGCAGCACACTGTTTTAGGGAATAAATCTCAATTTCAAAGACCACGTTGGTAATTATTATTTATTGAGAACTAATTTAAGAAAATACTCTATTAGAATGGGCCGTTTTGATAATTTACTATAATCCACTATTATTTTTGCTTCAAAAGTGGTATCGCTCACCCCAAGCGACCCTCGCCCTGTGCTAGACGATAATATAGGAAGAGGTAAATCATGGTGACTCAACCGGCAACAGAGGGTGGGACCAGTACTCACTATTAGGGCTGTGCATTATTCGGTCCAAACCCGGACCTACCCGAAGACCCGCCAAAATCAAACCGGACCGGTCCTAATTCTGTCCGGTCTCCGTCCATAAATTTCTATTATCCGGGTTCAGGTCCGGTCCGGTCCAAACCTGGTGAGACCGGTGGACCGACCGGTGGACCGGTTATATCATTAATATGAGTTTATATTTTACTTAAATTCTTTAATATATGGGCTTTAGGGCTTAATTTATATACACAATAATGTCAATACCCAATAATCCACCTTAGTCTAGTAGCAAATCCACTTATCAAATCGCCGAAGAAAACTCAAATCGCCACCGCCGAAGAAAACTCAAAGGACACGCACAGACGCACTCACGCAGCGGCGCAGCGCAGCAGGTTCTCAACTCGCGGATTCTGCCCAATCCTCCGGCAATCGCAGCGCTTTCAGCACACGTTCACTCCGTCCGCACTCCGCAGGTACGCAGTCTCAACTCTCCGACAAATCCCAGGTTCTCAACTTGTCGATTCTTGCTAAAATGTCATAGGGTTAACTAATTTGGATTTTTGTCCTGATTTCCAGTCACTTGGTCCAGATTCTTGCTTTGAAGCATCTATGTTATATATATACTTCATATATGCTTGAAGTTCTTCATATACATAATTAAAATTGTACGGAACAAAAGCTATATTTAATTTTCAATTTTTAACTTTAAACATAAGCTTTTTTTATGTTATAAATTTTAATGCTCGTTGAAGCCTTTTTTGAAAATATTTCTCTTCAATTTTTTTTTATTTGTTTTACTTATTTAGTTTTGAAATTTATATGAATGGTTATATTAATTATCTTTAACACAGATGTCTAGTTCTCATTCCAAAAGACCACATCTGTCAAGCACGGGAGAAAATGTTGACACTAATATACAAATGACAAGTGAGGACAATGCGACAGAACCTTTAAATGAAGATGCGCAGATGACATCTGAACCAAGCAGAACAAGTAAACAAGTGGTGAGAAAGTTCAAACCGAGATCCGGATGTTGGAAGCACTTCAAGGAAACTAAAGAGAATGGCAGTCGAGTTGCAGGTGAGTGCAATTATTGTGGTAAAGTGTATAAGGCTGACTTTGATTAGAATGGCACCAAAAATTTAAATAATCACATCCCCAAGTGTCCTGAAAATCCTAAGAATAAATCCAAAGAAGTTCGAACACAATTGATTTTAGAAAGAGACTCAAATAATGAAGGAGAAGCAAAATTAAAAAGTTGGATTTTAAACCCTCATGAGGCTAGATTAGCCATAGTAAAACACATTGTGATTGATGAGTTGCCTTTTCGACATGTTGAAAAGAACGGGTTTAAGTTGATGGTGTCTGTTTTAGCTCCTGGACTTAAAGTGCCTTCACGTACGACTATTGCACGAGATGTTTATCAATTGTATGTCAATGAAAGAGTCTTATTGAAAGAACATCTTGTGAATGCATGCCAAAGAGTTTGTGTGACCACTGATACATGGACTTCTCTACAGAGGTTAAATTATATGTGTGTGACTGCGCATTTTGTTGATAATGATTAGAAATTGCAAAAAAGGATTATTAGTTTTTGTACAATTTCTAGCCATAAAGGTGATGCTATTTCTCTTGCACTTATATTACAATGTGTTTGGATGATTGGGGCTTGTTGATAAATTGTATACAGTTACTGTTGATAATGTCGGGAGCAATAGTACTGCATGTACTGCTCTTGTTGAAGATTTCAAAAGAACTCAACATCATCTCTTCTCAAATGGAGATTTTTTGCAGGTTAGATGTGTTGTCCATATCCTTAATTTGGTGGTGTGGGATGATTTGAAAGTAGTGGGGAAGTCAGTGAGTCGCATTCGAGCTGCGGTAAAGTTTATTAGACAATCACCAAGTAGAGAGGCAAGATTTTATGAATGTGCACTTGCTGAAAAAATTGAGTGTAAAGCATCTTTATGTTTAGATACTCCCACAATATGGAACTCTACTTATAAAATGCTCAATGTTGCACAGAAGTACGAAAATGCTTTTCAGAAGTATGCCAAGATTGATCCCTACTTTGTTATTGATTTCTCAAAGGATAAAGTTGATAAAGTAGATAGACCTCCTAATGCTAAAGATTGGGTTCAAGCTAAACATTTGATGGTTTTTTGGAGGCTTTTTATAATGCTACTTTACATTTGTCTGGTACTTCCTATGTGACATCTAACTTGCTCTTTTTTGAGATTGTGGCTATATATAAGATGTTGCAAAATCTTGAAGATATTGATGAGGTGATTGATGTTCAAGATATAGAGATTGGTTTAGAGAGTGAAGAAGATGAAGTTATGGTGAGAAACTTCAAAGAAATGGCTAACCGTATGAAGTTGAAATTTGAAAATTATTATGGGAGGCCAGAGAAGTTGAACACCTTGGTGTATATCCTAGATATAAGTTGGAGGGTTTAGAAATATGTGTGTGTGACCTATTTGAGGCAACAAGTGGTGATAGCATTATAGAAAAAGTGAAGGGGAGTGTTGAGACACTATTTGATGAGTATTGGCAACTTTATAAGCCATCTCAAGCTCAAAGCGGACAGAGTAGTGAGATTCTCAATGAATTGGAAAATGCTACATCTATGTCAGGTAGGGATGACAACGGGCCGGGTTTGGGTCGGATAGTACTATACCCGAACCCGACCCGACTTTTAAAACCGAAACCCGAATCCGACCCGATACCCGACATTTTAAGCCAAAACCCGACCCGACCCGAACCCGGCATTTCAATCCAAAACCCGAATATGACCCGAACCTGACTTTTAACCAATAATCATTTCGACGTACCCCATTAATTTGAAAAGAATTAAATCTAATTTTTGTGTCTCATTTCATATTAAGAAATTATTAAAAATGATTATAAAATTATTTGATATAGTAGCACTTTGTCAAGAGATTATACGGAGTGCTCATTATATCCATAGATATGCTTTTATGTTATAAAATATTTGGGTTTGAGTCGGGTCAGGTTTGGGTTCGGGTCGGGTCGGGTAAAATTATAAACCCACACCCGACCCGACCCGATGTCGGGTTCGGGTAAAAAAATTCGGGTCAGGTTCGGATTATTTTATTCTTGGTTCGGGTTCTGATATTTTAGTGCTCGGTCAGGTCGGTTAAGCTCGGGTCAGGTTGAAATGCCATCCCTAATGTCAGGTCAAACATATGCTCAACAGTTACAGAAAAGGTTGAAAGGGACACAAAGGGCAAGAGGAAAGAGCTGCAAAAATATTTGAATGAGGGACTTGAAGAAGATTCGGAAGTGGGGGATGATTTGTTAGGTTGGTGGCGCGTCCACGGTCCTCGATATCCTGTTCTTGCTCGTATGGCACGTGATATTTGTTGGGAACGAGGCTTGGCTGACGCAGCGGAAAACAAAAATTTAGAGTCCAAAACTCGATTCCACCCAAGAACAACTTACGTAAATTACTAGCTATAGTAAGAAATTTACCTTAGCGGTGAAAAATGGAGAACGGAGAAACGGTCGGGGATGGTTTTGAGGAGATGAACGTAGCGTCAAACGTATGAAGCCTCCAACGTATCCACACGAACTTGCTCTGGAGTCCTAGATTAAACTTGTGCTAGCAAGTTTAATTTAGGATAGTAAAACTATAATAATACTACTTTGGGAGTAATAAATATATAGTAAAAATATTTATCTTATAAATATTTCTTTATAATATTTTGTATATATTTCTAACACTTTAGAAAAATAACTTGGAACACAAAATAATATTTTTCTTCCTTTCTCTCTCTATGGCCGAAATTCACCCTTGAAAATGGGGAGGGATATTTCTCATTTTATAATATATTGCATTAAGGAATTGCTAGGAAATTGCTTAGGGACAAAAACAAATTTGGCTTAATGCATTGTTCCCAACCAACACAACAATACAAATATTCTTTACTAATCAAATATTTGATTATATAAATCAAATATATCATTAGGTAAAAAATCAAAATATGTTTTGTATCTTTCTCTTGAAATTTTCGGCCATTTCAAATTTATAATATATCATATTTTATTTTGACATCAATAATTATCAAATAATTAAAATGATGAAAAATAAAAAATTATATATATATATATATATATATATATATATTCGGCACTACATATATATATATAATAAAATTTGTTTTGTCAAAATATAATTATCATATAATTAAAATGACACAAACAAAATATAATTTTAAAATACATATGTATTTT